GAAAGGCGTGCGAGGATGGCATCAAACGAAGTTGTAGCACAGTTTTCTAACTATATTGTGTATCTAAACTAGAAAACTATTGGAATGTTGAAATCCATCGGTTTAAACTGTTCACTTTCATGTAACGCCAAATTGACCTCGTATGCAGTTTCAATTAAAGACAGAAATTCTGTACCTACGTGAATTGATGCTGTGATATTCAAATATAATATTCCAGATATATTGTATGAAGTGTAGTTCCAGAAATTCTATATACAAGTTGGAACTAATGTGCCATTAAATAGCAGCGAAGACGTAAATAGGAATTTCAAGTACTGTCATGTGTAAATATTGTTGAGGTTGTCGCTGTTCGTTTCAAAACCTCAAGCTTGTCGACTTTTTCTGCGGCATCTGGGGGGTCTAAATTTTCTACTGTATTCACCTCGACGGCAGTTGCGCGTTGTAAGCGAACCTACCCAACTCGGAACAGTAAATATCAGAACGAACTAAATACACTCGCGAAGTATCAGTAGAAATTTGAAGACACAACAAACCAATCTATAACGTTGTTATTGCTATAGGAAGGTGTCAATTTTGGTTTTTGAAACCCGATACAAAACATCGTGCCTTGTGACGTAGAATACAGAGTTGGACTCGCCCATTCGGAGTTTTCTTAGGAACGTAATACTTCGGCTATGTTAAGGCTTTGCTGTATGTGTTTAGTAACTTCTAGTGAAAGATTTTTTCCTGACTTATACACTCTGTATAAGAGAGACTCTCGACTTTATATAACAAATACATAAATAAGGCAATAATGGATCATTTGTAGCTCCAATGTGTTATAACATTCATTGTGATACAATGGAAATAAGGGTACACTGATGATTATGTTCATTCAAATAAAAATCTAGAAAGCATTTGATAACGTGTGATTAACATTGGTTCTAACAGGGTCACAGACAATGAGTTTCCATAGAAGTATGACTATAATTTTAATTTTAAGTATAGATGCCTTGCAACAAGGTAGTATAAAGAAAATATAGTATAGTGAAACCTTTACTTTCTAAGGTATACGTGAAGTATTGGTCACACAAGTCAATGTTCACCTTCCTGCTCACTCAATGGTAATATTAAAGTGTACTGTAAGAGTGCTTGGTAAAGCGGTAAATTGGCTTAAAACTGAGTATAACGCATAGAAACCCTCAGAAGCTTATCCCCAAAATCTTAATTTGCTATCAGGTTAATCATAAGCTACTCCTTACATCTTCTGTTATTTATTCGCCTACATAAAATTTGATACAACTACAGTATTTTCTAGTTTGTAAACTTGTAGTACAAAAGCATGTATTTGAGCATTCTAACCTCTAATTTTATGTGATCCGTAATATCGGGAGCTTGAAAACAGTTTCCATCCATTTCTCTATCCAGAATGTTGCGAGTATTTGTGGGTAAGAGCGATGCATCCAAAGGCGCCCTACAATTGTAGGGACGACTGACGATACGGGCCTAAAGTTGCACGCCGATGTCACTTTGACAAATATGATTCCAGTTCAATGGTGAGTGCACCAGAGTGTACAGTCGCCTGTATCTAGCTTTCAGAGTGATAGCTGAAGTGTGACATAGTTGTAGTCTCCGTTCTTGGCACTTACGGCATCAACGCCATCTGAAGTAAGTAAACAAGCGCAGACTAACCTTCAGCGCATCTGCTACTCTCTCCAGTACGCACAAAGTGGGTAACAGGGGATCGCGGTTTTCATTCCATTCCTGGAAATCCTCTAATAAATTTAGCACGAGCTGTTGGCCTTCTGTATTGATCGTATTTCCGGGCATTGTACAATTTTATGTTAAAGATGACAACTAAAGTTGCACGCCGATGTCACTTTGACAAACACGATTGAAGGGCGCTCATGCGTAACGACAAAGTTTTCGAGACGGAAACACACAACTGAAAAACGTATGTCTTTGAGCTTACCGAACAAACGTTCACGCACAGGAGTAAGTTGAATGTGTATGTATGACAGAGATGGAGATACTGGTAGTCTTACTTTGACCCACCAAGAACGGTGACTACAACTATACCTTCACAGTTCCAACCTACAGTTTAACGTCGCAGTGAGCGATTCTCACAGTATATGAAACTGGTGTTATATCGACTTTTCATCAGCTTCATGCCTCTGGTATAGTCGTTTTGCTCTATATCGACTGCTAGCTCACCTGCATTGTGCTGATGACATAATCGTGCATACACTGAGCGTAGTCTCTACACAGCTCGTTCAATAAGGATACAGATATCCTGTTTAGCTATTGTGCGAGTTGACCCATCGTACATGAAAGCTATCTAGTAACTAACATGTGCATGTAGGTTGAATGGCTAGTGTGACCCTGTGACCGGATAAAAAACGTCGTATCTCCTGGGAGATTTATCCTATCAGAGCCTGACACGATACGTCTGATTTATGATCCCAGTTATTCATTTGTTTTGAATTGTTTTCGCTTTAGCAATGTCCCGTCAAACGGGCGCGATAAAACGAGACATGCCGACCGATGGCCCTATTGACAGGGTGGTCTGTAACTACGCCTTTAAAAGTCAGTCATATTGGGCCAAACGCGCCTTACTTTAACGTCGGTCGATAATGCAGAGTATTTATGTTTGTTTCTAGAAATCGTTATTTCTGCGGTTTTGTGACATATTTAGACATAAAGATTGGGAATCAAGCATCTATGATGATAAGAAACGTTGTGTTTTTCAGCATAATAAGTAGAAGACGCAGGCAAAAGTAGGACTTCCAGTCAAATCAGTCACTTTCGACGTATTATCTGAGAAACAAGACGGTAAATTCCATTCATCCGTAACCGAACGGTCAAAGCAGTGTGTTGAACATTGAACAATTTCTGACACACACAAAATTGTGAATTATTTTTCTGTGTTATTTTACTTCCACCAAACTTAAAACGGTATTCAGTTTATGGAATCTAAAGCAAGAATTCTCATAAATCCATCGTTTTTACCGTACTCAAAAGTTCTGCATAGAAAATGAGTGCAGTCCATCGACTTTTTCGTTGGTGCTATAATTTTGCAGCCCAGGAAGCAAACATATTTTTGCTTTGTCTAGGGGTGGTGTATAGTTAACAATAACGGGCACTTAGGCCCACTGTTTCACAATTACAAACAATATTTTGAGCTTTGGCTGATTCAAGATATAATTTTATATATATCGATGTTCTGCAGGGAGAAGTGCAGATTCAACTACACTTTTTACTAAAACATTATATTTTTTGACTTAATGTCCATAAGCCACACGCAGAAAAGTCTGTGGTGACCCTAGTTAGTACCCAGTTAAAATTTAATGCACTGCTGCTGATAAAAGACGGACGCAGTCAAAACTAATTAATACCCTTAATTCCTACCATCGAGTTCCATCGAAGTTAGTTCAGGAATTTATGCCAAGTTACGAAAATATATATTGGAAACATCAAACATCAATCTCATGTATTTTACTAACGGCACCATCATGCGTAAGCTTTAAGCGTTTTGTTCTCCTTTAAGGGTGGAGATTAAAAACCAGAAGTATTCAAAATTAACTTAGTATGTGGCTGAAAATATATGCAATTGGCGACTCTAGTTTCTCTAGATACAAATGTAGTAGAGCAATATAGCCTCAGTAATTAAATTACCATGACGCCATGATTATACAGACCCCTGAGTTCCCCAATTTCATACTTTCTTAGCAACAAACTAATTTAGTTTTGAATTCTCTTAATTGGCGCTCGCCACATTAAGAGTTTCATGCGATTGTATTTCCTAAATAAAACATGCAAAATACTCGTATCAAGAAAACAACAACTACTACAGAAACATATTTTATTCGTATGTCTAATGCCTTTCAATCATATAATAAATAGCAACTGTATAAAGTTACAGTAAAGTGCCTCCTCCGTCTCCTTTTAGTACATGTTTTATTTTTAAAACTTAATTCTTATAATCTTTCCAGCAGGCGTCCCAAATAGATCTTTATTCTTGTATTGACTGCATAAATTTTAAAATCCATTTCTGAGTAAAACACATCGTGAACCTGTTCAGAAATAACACACAAGATCAAGTCTGTCAGCTAAACATGAAAATTTTGACTATTGGTGATCCAATGCATCTAACATGCTAAAAATTGCACGATAAAGATTGCCGTTGGTCAAACACTAATCGCGTGCATGAATGGGCTCTCATATATGGTGGCACTGTTTCCAGATCGGAAAAATTTTATTTCGATTATAGCGAAAGTACCATGTTACTACAGAATTGCTTCGTAACGGACCACTCTGTATGGAAAAAAGCTTTTAAATGTATTACACGGACGGACGTTATATCGCTGCATCCGAACTTCCGTTTATTTGTTCCTAGTAAATTTTTCAAATTTTTATCAATTTAAATGGAGAACATTAATCACTGCAGGCTATTTCGCGCTCTAAAGGGTCTTTATGTCTGTCCGAACAATGTGCTGTTTCGCTATTCGATTGTAATACAGCGCTGAATGTACGAGTACGAAAGTAATTTACTGCGTATTATATATGTTTCGAGGAGCTACTAAATCTGCAGTACAAAATGCAACAATATTTTAAAACAACACAGTACAAGCACGTAGATTTTAAAATCGAGATCGCCAGATGCAGCTAATTAGTGCACTCAGAGTAACACGTTGGTGTACCAACACTTTTATAATACCTACAACAATATACTGAGTGAAAAAAATTAGCTGCATTTGAATGGTTTTCTCGTTTCTGCAAATCATCAAAACTCATCCCACAATTTCTCAGAAAATGTCATACGATTGCGTTAGTCCCATGTGAACTTTGATTCCTTAATGATAATGAATTTTGAGCCAAAGCGATGGAGACCCGTTTTCCATATATCTTGAGCAGGGTCCTTTAGAAATTAATCTGTATATGAAGAATCATATCACTGGCTCAAGTTATTGGAAAATGAATGTAATTTCATTTCAAACTAACTACTTATTTATAATTTACAGGATCAGAACGGTGATGTAATCCTATAGACAATCCAACCAAAGTGAAGACAACAAAATACAGGCACGTGGATTTCAATATGCAGATCAACAGATGCACTCACGGTATCGGCTCAGAATACTATAGTCACATAGTAGTGGACATTTTTATATGATGAAAATTACCTAATCTATATGATCTGAATTAGTTAAATATATATGTATAATATATAATGTAGCTCAACACGTGAGACCGAACTGGCTTCCGCGCTGTCAAAAATTTTATAAACGCTTCGTTGTTTAGATTTTGTTTTGTTAGGGAGCGTATCACGTTTTGTTTGTTGTACATGAATCCTGGGGATCGAAGACACGAATGAAGACTTGCGTACAGTGGCATTGACAGCAAGATATTCTTCTGTTTAATAGCTGCTTATTTGGTAGTATATATAGATATAAAAGATTTTGCGTCAGTTTCAAGAGGCAAAAGAAACGAATGTTGTCACGGAATTGATGCTACAAGTCTATAGATAAATGTGAGAATGAACGCTCGCTCATATCGAAATATATATGTATGGATTTCATCATGCATAAACGGTTCTCCGTGGAACAAGATAGAAATTGATGCATGTGGCAGCTTCGTTTCCATTTATTTTCCTTTTGGGAGGTGTCGGCATCATATCCGCAACAAAGATACACAGTCGAAAGATACACCCTGTCATTGGGATTCTCACATACATTGTTGCTTGATAAATTGCTTTTCAAACTTGATGTTTCATATATTTGGAACTAGGGTAGAAACAAAACAAGTGGTGGGCTGGTGCTGTCATTTAGCTAGAGAGGAACAATATAAGTAAAAGTTAAAAGATTGATCATTTAATTTATGTATCTCTGTTAATTTATCGGAGATATCAAATGGTAAGATTTGTGGTTTCATCTTCAAATACCTTACAGAAGGGATTTACTTTTAATGATACATTGAGTAATATTAAGTTATTACTGAGAGTAAAAAGATCCTTGAATAATATTTTCCCATAAAAACCAAGCGCCCATGATATCCCATGATATAATATTTGAATGAATGAAACCAGAACATCGTCACAACAAGTAAATCAATACATGTCTGAAATGCTGTTACCCCAAATATTGGCAAGGTGGATTACACCATTTAGGAATTCCAACTCAACTGTACAATCACGAAACATGCACGTATAAATCTACTCTAACTACTAGGCACTAGATAGAAGATAATGAAAAAACATCTGTCTTATGCTGATTCTTGTAGAATAGAATATTCCACCTTCTTATTTTTACGTGTAGAAGACATTTAAAGTCACTATTATCTCTATTCAGAAGCCTTATCTCAGCGACATCTTGCCAATGCTTTCAGAAATGTGTGGATATGTACACTTTCCAGAATACTTCGTCTGGCAAAAATGATTGACGAAACATTAAGTGGGATTTCGATACATCGGCAGTCTGACAGAAATATATTATAACAGGTCGGAAATATTAGGCAAGTGTAGCGATATAGCCGCGCCACACTAAAAATATTTCCGTATGGTGGCTCCCCCATACAGATAATGCACTAAAAGCATTACCCACTTAGAAGCGCTATAAAATAATGAGCATATTCAGCCAACATAAAGCGGTCCAGTGGTGCAGCGTAGCGTAAGCTAAATAGTATCCGTGAAATAGCTTTGACAGTTCGCAACATTTAATCAATAAACTATCAAATAGCCGAGTAAAAACTGCTGTCAAACTGACAAATCTGTTCCACAACTACCGCCATTCAGCACAAAAGCTATGATGGGGCCGCCATGTAATAGCCTGTGACTAACTCTTACTAGAACATATCAATTGTTTTCTGATCAGCTTTAGTTTCTTCAAGGTCTGTTGCTCGGTACTACAAGGTATTACTGTTATTTATCTACCCCGGTGACATACCACTTGCAATACAAAGCATTTTGTAGTAAGTTTTCAATAACAATATTTATATTTATAAACTCTACAATGCGGGACCCATTATTTTGTCTGAACGTGTTCATTCTTAGAACTTGACACCTGGAATACAGATAAATAAAATATACTGTCTAGAAAGTTCTACTGAAAAAGGTCACCATTGGGACTGAAACGTATACAATAAAGAAAAACTCAAAACACATAAGGTTTGATTGGTCAGACAATCATAAAACCATAGAGTAAGTCCAAGTGTTACACAAACCAAAAAGCTTTTAGCTTCTGTAAAGACAGCTTATTTAACACCATTTTTTATGGATGATAAATCTGCGGTCGCGGTTGACACATTTTCAGGTGTTTAACCCGTTACCCTGAAACCGTATTTCTGCTGTCCCTTCGCATACATATATTATATTTTAATCTTATCTCCGTTAGGTGGCCGGTGTGCGCCGAGGGCGGAATAACAGACACTCGCCATAAATCCGCGTTTCCACGCAAGACTATATCTACCTACAGCTACCTATATTAATTTTAATGCATATATTTAGCTGGGGAGCACTGAGTGGCGCTTTTTGACGATGATAAATGGTCAAAAATATTCTGGATTCGTTTCGAAGAAAATATCTTTTCAACTCGCTGTGGTGAAAAACAGCAACGCGAAATGAATTTCACTAAGCTGTAAAACCTTTCAGAAGAACAGTCTGATATCTGGCGAGGCAGATGAAACTAATTCTATACGCAGCATATGTACACAGTGTACCGGATTCTGGGATTCATATAAAACCGGCATAAGGCTGTAAGACGTACTCTAGCTCGATATTAACAAAGCTTCTGGTCTGGACTTGAATTCTGTTATCATGTTATCATTCTTAAGAGATGTGCAGCGGAGCTGGCACCACCAGTTCTTTCGTGTGACATCAAGATATCTTATGCAATCCAGAGAACTGTGAATAATAAGCAAGGCGATGGAGAGGAGCGTAAATCGGGAGCGTCTGGAGTATCTTGAACGTGACGTCTTGATTAGTGACAGGCATTGGGGTTTCCGGCATCAGCAATCCGCAACGGACCTCCTAGCTTACCCCACGCAACTGTAGAATAAGCTCGTCCAGTCATATGGTAAGGCTCATGCCGTTGCTGTTGTTATCACAGAAGCGTTCGATAAGCTGTGGCATGCTACCCTCTTGTGCAAACTTCCATCCTATGGCCTTCCAGAGAAGCTTAGCAGATTGGTGGCTCTGGTCACAAAATATAATTGGCATGTTCTGCTCTTTATCCCATAGTGTCAATGCTGGTGTTTCCCAGGGATCGGTCTTGGCTCCGATATTGTTCCTCTTACATATCAACGACTTAGCTCTCTTCTATCGCCATGTCAATGGACTTAGCTCCTTGGAGCTTGACTTCGGCCTCCCATCCTAACCGTGTCGAATCGTCCGACACGACAGCTCCTTTGTTCCAAGGGTATCGATATTGTGCAACAATCTAACTGAGGAGTCTTCCCTCAATTCTACTAGCCACAGGCATTTCAAAAAACTGAACAAAGTTACTTTAGCCTCCTCGTAGCAGTCGCGGTACCTTGGGCGGTTGCTTCGGCAGAAACATAAAAAACTGGAATTTGTTCCTCTATAAAGGTTTTTGGAACGGTGCTTCCAACGCTGATTCTCCTCTCCTTTATAAAGTCTATCTACCTACTATGTACTTATCACGTAGAAACGGTAGCTATTAATGTGTAACTGAATAGTAGGAGCCAAAATTCATCCTTGGGGAACAACCGTGTTGACATTGCGAGATTATGAAAATTTGTCAATTAGAACAAATTCCCGATGAACAGAAACGGAGTCAACCACCCAACGGAAAGTTTTCCAAAAATTTTATTTCGATGGAATATAAATACTCCGATACTGCTGAACGTAGAAACTTGAAACTTTGCAGAAAGAACCTTCATAGAGCGTAAGTTGTCACTGTGAAGGACTTTCTGCAAACTCCTTTTATAAGAATGTGCTCCAGGGAATTGAGAGTATGTATGGAAATTTTTATTATTTCAATGGACTTGAAAACTCCACAATATACAAAAGAATGTCAATCAAAATTCTGGAGATTCACACCAACCATTCTGAAAAATTGTGGTTTTGCATAGAGCATCTTTCTTCATACAGTGGAAGTTAACACTAAGAAGGGATTTTGAGACATACGCTCTCCAAGGGGTGGACTAGGGGATGTGAGCTCGTATGAAACCTTCAATTGATTCACTAAGAAATTGACATATTTTGCTTTCCGTCTCAATCACGACCAACCGCAGACAGCACTGTTTCGTGCTAATTGGCATCTTATCAGTGCGGCATAGGTCTAGTAGTTCTGAAATGAGATGAAAGGAAAGCAAATCAGCGAGTATGGTCGCTTCGCACATTATTTTGAGGTTTTCAAGCGACCATATCCACTTGTTTAATTTCCGTTCATCGGTCTCTCTCCAAGACTACCAGGCCTAACCGTACTGGTGAGTTACTGATGGGCACGAAACAGCGCTACCTACGATTGGTCATAGCTAGGTAGTTACAGACATGGTAAGCAAACATTCATTTCAGTCGCGCCGTTTTGGTGGTATGACACATACAGGATGACCCAACGTAAACGGCGCACCCCTATTTGTGACTCCCGTGGTATATTTTGGAAATATCGCCCGGACACGCCAATTTTGATTTCCAGGGGACGTCTTTTCTTCTATAGATGTACAATACAGGGTGATCCAAAAATGATGTATCGCGTTACACTTTAGTTACACTACAGTTAAGTTCGTCGAATTTTACTAAAAACTCGAATAACTTTACAACCACCCTGTAACTTTGAATTAAGCATAACGTCGAGTAGCTTTGGTTCTGTAACGTAGAATTTTTCCATATTATTTCATCGTACGGGTAACGATAGTCAACTTGGAAAACCATTTGTAGGTGGGGATCGTCAGATTTTCGCCTACCTACAGCGGGATTTTGTACAAATACTCAATAGCATGATTAGGCGTTGTTGGAAACCCAACTCCTTGGAGGGTGGAATAAGGGGTGAGAAGTTCTCACTTTGGTTATTGCCCTGCTTAACATTAATTCATGATTTAGAAAAAAAAACAGGTAACCATGTTGCTTTGTGGTCATGGTGCGGTGGTATGGAACATGTTGTGTGGGAGACCCACACCTGACAGGCTTAGTTACCTTTTGTTTAG